AGCTTACAGTCTGGTAGTGGGATCACACATATAAATCAACAATTACATGACCTTTCCAGCCAAAAAAAGAAGTTTAGAGAAAGGATAATGCTGTCAGTTTTAACACATTGGCACTCCCCAGAGAGCTATATGTAAAGGCCCATCAAGGCTATATTGTTTTCTTTGTCTCTAGAGCCTGCGAAGGATCTTTGGGTTGTGGAGATTTATAAGACTCCTCACTACCATTTCATGGTTGGGAGAGTGAATGTTCATGGGGAAGAGGGGTCAGAGATCCTGGGAAAGCTCAGTGTCAGGTGTAGGTCAGACCTGGCGAGGAAGGCCATCAGACCTAGGGAGCCAAGCAGTTACAGGTGGCCCAGGACCCAGGGCAGGGAAGGCGAGTGAGAAGCCAGAGAGTCACGTGCAGACCCAGAGACAGAGAACGAGACGAGGCAGGGAAGGAGAGAACTTGGAGAAGGGACTTCAGAGTGAGCAGCATGGGGCATGACAGATGGGAACCCCAGAGAGAATATTTCGGTCATGGAAAGATGGCTCCAGGTCTCTTATTGTTATTTATGGTTCTTTAAACGTAAACACTGTAAGGAGTTCAAGACAATAAAACGCAGAACACACAAGCTTAATGACAAATGTTATGCAATAATACATGCATTTTTCACAGCAAGATCTCAGTTCAAGATCCGTCTGCAATGTAAGAATCAGATTTTAGATGAAAAGTCACCATTCGGTGTTTCATTGATGAGCAGAGGAGAAGCACACTCTGTGTAGCTGGCCCTGTGCTACATGCTGCTGGGGCTGTAACTGTCAAAAGAACTTAGGTTTTTACACAAAACTCTACCACTGTACCTAAGATTGATCTTTTTCAAGAAGGTTTATGTTACTAAAATATTTTTTTTCTAACAGGCTTTAAGAAAATACTGAAATAGATGGACCTGGATAAATATTTCCTATCCCTCTGAATAGATGTCTTTGAATTTCAATGTTTTACTGTACATATTTCTTAGACTAATGGTCCATTTCCATTTATCTCTTTCCAACAGTTAATTTGAAGATTTTCATATTTATTTTAATTAAATGCATGATGTAGGAAGCTGCACTTGAACATACAGGAAACCAGATTCATTCTCAAATAAAATGCTCAACAAATACATTAATGATTTTCTTACAGATTTGTCAGCTGTGCCTTCTATTTTGGAGGCAGATGTTCAGGTGTAAGTCTGAGTAGCACGATTTCTTCAATCCTTTTGTTCCACTTTTCTTAAATATACCTGCCAAAATTCACCAAAGGCTAACCTCTGGGACTTGAAAACAAAGAAGGAAGAAGGGAGAAAAAAGACTCCTTTTTGTTTCCATAGCACTGGGCCTTTATTTAGTTGAGGTTTGAGACCTAAGGACACCTCCCTGGTATGTGCATTCCAGTCGTTGGAATGACAGCCAAGAAACTGAGGCAGGTGGAGGTGCCTGGACACACGCCCTCAGCCTTCCCTGTTTAAAAATGCCCTGACTGCAAGACAGTGTTGGACCCGGGGCGAACTGTGAGCGTAATTTTAGCATGGTTGGTTTCAGTTCCAGTGACAGGAGACTGTGTGTGTGTGTGTGTGTGTGTGTGTGTGTGTGTGTGTGTGTGTGTGTGTGTGTGTTTAAAAGAAAGTAAATATTTAATGATGATAGTGGAAACAAATATTGAAGTCAGTAAAACGTGAGCATCCCAGTGGTTGGTTTAACATCTGGAAGAGAGAGCGAGGTGAAACGAATGGGTCATTAGGCTCCGAGGCTGTGACATGTGGAAGCCAGAGTACATTTTTCTTTGAAACTGTGAATAAACAGCTTGGAGATCATCTAAGGTGCTCTTTTCTGATACTTGTTTTATTTCATTTGACTTAGGGCACCGAAAAGCAAATGTTGGTTACATTGTTTCACTCTAATTGTTATGCTGGAATGCATTACTTTTACAATATTTTAACTTCTATTTGATTCCAGTGTAGCTGGGACTTAGGCTTATATACAGATCCATGTAAAGAGCAGGGCTCTTCCTGGGGTAGCTGCTATGCGATTGCCCCCTGGTCTAAGTTCTGGCCCCTAGAATGATACCCACGACCTGTGTTCACGCAGCTGCAAAGCATGTTGGAGCTGGAAGGAACTCTGGCGATGTGAAGAGCAAAACGTGAGCGCAGGCAAAGGCTCTGTATTCAGAGCTCGCTTAGGACACGAGGCAGGCAGACACCGGCTCTTACACTTGGCAGAGACTCAAAGGCAGGGAGGAGCGTGGGAAAGCTTTATAGTGGGAAAACGAAAAAGCTTCAGATATGCCCCAGTTGGAGGCTGTTGGCTGGGAAGCTGCAGGCAGGCTAAATAAAAGCAGGGCATCCTACGTGATTAATTTTGGGTACATACTTGACTTTCTGTGGTTGGCTCTCCGTTGGAAGCTGGGCCCAAAGTCCTGGCTGTTTGGGGCCAATTGCTACACAGGTTTGGCTTCCTGGCTTGGCTGCTAGAGAGAAGGGTCTGATTTCGTAAAGCCTGACTTACAGATAGGGGGTTGGCTTCCTGGCTTAGAGCTCTAGTTTTATAGGTGGCTGGCGGTTTTCCGTGAGTATAATTCAGTCTCTGGGTGATCATCGGCTCCAAATGTAGAAATATTTTTAAAGAACTCATAGAGGACAAATGGCTATGATTGATTTAAGTCAATATTACTTTTTACTTGTATGGCACTTTACAGTTCCAAAGTCTCTTGAAATGTAGAATGTCATTAGATCTTTCCGATGAAAATGGGGACATTAGGCAGAGCTGGTATTATCTCCATTTTGTAGTTAAGAGGAATGAGACTCGGAGAGGAGAAACCAAGTGTTCCGAGACACGTTCATGAGCCCACGAGGCAAAGCCCGGCCTCTTGGATTTCTCGCCCAGGGCTGCTAATCATTTTACAACCTGTTCCGGCTTCGCCCCACGGATTCGGGAGGGGAAGCCGAGGGTGACATGTCTGTCCTACGGCTGAAAGTTCATGGGCATCTGAACCTGCACACACAGAAAACACACTACAGATTCCTTATGTGGATGAAACTTTCAACCTGGTGAATTTTACAACTTGTGACTGTCAGATAATCAGATTTTTGAAACTACAACAAGCTCTGCGCCACTTTAATACACTCATAACACGCACTCGATTCTCTCGTTCCGTTAGGAATGTTGTATTTCCCACACACATCAGAAAGATGCCGGAGGAGCTGAGAAACCTACCAAATTAACTGATTAATTAAATACCTGTGGAGCAATATGCTAGGGGTGCCAGGGGCGCCAAATGAAAAAAAGGGAAGAAAGCCCCCACCTCAGACCCTGCCTTTAAAGAACTCGGGGTCCTTTGGTAAGAGCAGACCCGTGGAAAGGGGATGTGAGACGATGGCCGTGCAGACATGACACATCCCAGCACCGGGCGTGCGGGGGGGAAGGCTTCTCAAGTCGAGAGAGCCGCACGGAGGCAGGCCATGGGGGCCTTCCAGGGACCAGCACTGCCTTCACTGGGGGCGGGATGGGTAAGAACTCACAACCAACAGAGATGCTTCTCGAACACACTGTCAGAAGTGATGGAGTCAGAGAGGAAGGAGAGGGAGAGAGAATCTTCTGGGTCACAGGGAGCTTCGACATAATCCTGTGGGTGACAGGAAGCTTCTGGAAGGACCTCAGATAGGGGTACATTATGAGCAGATGTGCATGTTATGTTTGGTTTTGTTTTTAAACACTTCCCTATGGCTTTTCCCCGAAATACTCCGTTCTCCTGGCAGCAAGGGGGTAGCGCTCTTAAAAGCCCCTTCGTTACATGTGTTTATAAACCCTTCTGTACGCGCACGACAGAGTGGCAGTCACATCCAGTCCCTGAGGTGGCACTTGATCAGATTTTCATTTAAGCAGGTCACACAGGCAGTACTTGGAGCTCGTACCTTGGGGACTGAAGGAGACAAGTAGCAATAGTTCGAGGGCAGTGATTGGAGCTTCAACCATAGCAGTTGAGGTAGATGTGCTACAAAGTGGAACAGAAAAGAGAGCAAGATAGCCGGAAATAAAATCTGCAGAATCTGCTGACGGAGAGATTTGGGGAGTAGCAGTTAAAGAAAGGGAGACTGAGCTTCTAGCTGGAAGGTTGGCTGGACAACAGGAACCATTAGTTCAATTTAAAAAAATGGTGTCAGTTCAGTATCTTGAAATGTTGAATTTGTGTTTTACATGGGGACTCATCCAGCAGGAAGTTAGACAAAATTTTTTTATTTTTAGTCTAAAGCTCCAGAGAATGGTCCAGACTTGTAATAAGATATTTAGAAATCACCAACAATCAAACAACTGCTAGTTGAATCCTAGAGGGCAAAATCGCAGAAATATAGAATTAGAGGAAAAGTGGCTAAGCCAGTGCCATGGGGACAACCGTCCTGTAAGGGATGCTTGGCGGAAGAGAAGTTATGGGTGACACAGACATGGCGTGAGGCTCAGAACAACACAGGAGGATAGGCCACCAGGGAAGCTAAGAGGATGGAAGATGTAAATAAGAGAGTATCAAGAAGTTGTCAAATGGCTCAGAAATGTCTTCAGATTTGCCTCCTCAAAGGCCCAGGTGATGTTGGCAAACACAGTTTTAGTAGAGCGGCTGGGAGGAATTATGTCCCGGTGGGCGGTGGAGTGAAAAAGATGACACAGACAGTCCGTGCAAAGTGCACCCTAAGAAGTTTCCGTGGCAGTGAGCATGGGGGGGAGTCACTAGAGGAGCCTCAAGGTTCGCTGAGCTGCTCCTCTTTCCCAAAGAAAGCTCTTGACTAGGGATGCCAACCTGCACTCCTCCAATGAAAGGGCCCTGAGTGATCTCCACCCCTGTTATGTGTAAATGTCATCTCTTATACACCGATAGGTTTCTAAAAATATACTGAAAGCATTTCAGAAAATTGTTCTTCATGTTTTTAAAGGGATCTGGAAAGGATCTGACTTTTGTTTAACAGCATGTAATTCTGGTTGACACACAGAATCAACAGAGGAGCTAAAAGTGCGAAGCCACAGCACAGAGCCACTGCCAAAGCTGGACAGCAAAGAGAAAGGACACCACGGTGCACCTTCCAGAGAGCCTGTCAAAGCTCAGGAATGGGATGGAACACCAGGGCCACCTGTGGTCACCAGCAGACTGGGAAGATGCTCTGTGAGCCCCACCTTGTTAGCAGGAAACCACAGCTCAGGTAAGCAAGAGAATGATTTCCTAGACGGTAATTCCTCAAGTCTCTGAAAACTGCTTTTATGCAGTTACCACTTGGAGACCCATAGCCGCAGGCATCTCTTCCTACTCATAGAGACAGCACAGATAAATAGCCCTCCACACCACGGAAGGTGACACTGTGGTGGACCGCTCTGGGGACCATATGGGCAGAGGAGTAGTGAATGGTGCTCACTGGAGCCGTGGGATGGGGCACCCTGACGACTCGAAACATCTTGTACTGAATTTTATGTAAAACACCTAGAGCCCTCGTCTAAAGCAGTTTGCATTTATAAAGTATAAGTGATTGGAAGCTTATGCCTCTTTTGCTTCAGAACAGATTTTAGGCAACTGGAAAACATTAACAGGAAGTAAAATTGAGGATAAAAATGTAACAAAGACGATACGAAGGCAATAGCGGGAGTAGACCTTATGAGGCATCTGAAGTGGTGAGCTGAAGAATTTCAGCTGGGAATGGGGTGTGGGACTACGTTTCCACATCTAAGCCAAAAGAGTTGGAAAATCATAATCTAATACGCCTTTAAATTTCACAAGTTGAAATTAAAATCTGCAATGTAATTTACATTGTTAATAGATGAGTGTTATTAAACTTCGAGTTCTAAAAAGCATCATGTATTTTGCTTTGAACAAATTCAGCTACATGATGGACTTACAGAGAGCTATCAATTGAAATAAACAACAAATAATTGTTTACTAAAGAAATTGCAAAGTAGGTTGGGACCAGAAATTAAGAATCCTGAGGGCCTTGTGTATTAGAAATGCTTTTAGCCACAAAGTACCAATGAGCAGTGTCTTAAGTAATAATGACCTTTGTTAACCTCTATAGCACCCAACCTGGAGGTAGGGAGCTTCAAGTGCTTTCCCACTATTCATTGAGTCACTGAGGACCTGGGAACTTTCTATCTTTCTCTCTCTCCTGTTGTGATACCCTTGATTTTTTTTCCTCTTCATAATCACAAGCTGATGACGACAGTTCTGGGCATCATGACCCAGTAGACTCTCCTTTTCATTTAGTTGGTCAGAACTGGGAAACACATTCTCTGGACCAATCACTGTGTGAAAGAAAATGGTATTTCCATGGGCTTATAAAAAGCCCTTATTTCCCTTAAATCAAGGGGCATCTGCCTGATACCTAGAAATGAAATCAACGGTCTATTTGCAGGTATAAGGGGGGATGACATTGCCTAAGCAATGGACAGTCTCTGCCACATCATGTTTTGGTTTTGAACATTATGTGGTAGACACTCTGTAGTCATTTAAATATTTTTTAAGATAGAATGTAACTCAGTTTCCATGATGATAGATCCAAGGGTGACTCTGTGGCCCCAAGCATGGGAAATGGAGATGGTTAATACGAGATGTGGAGCAGGTTTAGGTGGGAGAGCCAGGACTTCAGTCTTGACTTCATTAAGTTGGAAGTGCTCTGGGACATGTAACTGAGAAGATAGCGGACAGCTGGAATTACAGGTCTGGAGCTGAAGAGATTTAGTGGAATTAGAGATTGAGACTAGAGACCTTTGAAATGGTTAAAACCGTAAGAGTAGATTATTCTAAACTAGGAGAACAGGAAACAGAGAAGAAAACTGAGATTAGGCAGTTTTCTGGAATGTTTGGGGAATCCAAACATTTCAAAGGGTGGGCAAAGGCCCTGGAATCTGTGAAATAAAGAGAGATAAAACAATGAGACAGTCCACAATTCACTTTTTCTGAACAGTTAATAAGTTGCACAAAAACGGGTAATATATCTGTGACACTGTGACATGAATCTCCCAAGAAATTCAGTGTAAACAGAATTTATAACAAACTTTGACTTTCTTCCCCTGAAAACTCCAGAAGCGTCTCTCTTGCTTTATGGCATTAAGTCACTCCTGAGTCTTTTCAGCTCTGTTTGAGAGCAGTAAATTGTTTAGTGACCAGAAGAAATGACATGACTGTCTGGAATCGCTCACATTTTCCCCCTTAGATTCTGAAGGTGGTAAACAAGGTGAAAGAAGGAAAGATTTTTGTTACATTTTCAATAAAGACATTTGTGTGTCTACTCTCAAAGAAATGTGAAAGGTAGGGGCAAATGTCTAGTCACTTGCATAAAATCATTGTGAGTCAGGGTTTCTCATGTGAAAGTGAAACTTTTGATGTGACCACGCAAAAGAGCATCACACCTCCGTGAGCTTTTAGCAGAAGTCGATACCTCCCAAGGATGGCACCGCCTTACAGCTGTCGAGTCTACCCTTCTACCCTTCTGTCAGCCTCGAGGGGCAAAAGGAGAGAGTGAAAAATGTTCATGTTGGCAGTTTTTGTTTCTCTGAAAAGAAAGAACCTAATATGTGCCAATATTATTCTTTAAAAATGCCATAGTTCCACTAGCAAAAATGTATAAAGTAGAATATCTGAAGTTCTCTCGCCTGTGACGACCCAAGCAAAGGATGCCCCCTCGAGGAGAGCTCATCACAGGGTCTTCGTCCAGAACTAAGAGCTCCGCGAAGGAAGTGGTTTGGACTTGCTCTTTCGGAACAGGACCCAATGAGTCCACCTCTGCCCTTTCTCCCCGCTCCACGTGTTCACGACTGTCCCCTTGCCGCCGGGCCCCTGAGCTACTGGTCCCCTAGCAGCATACGCGAGAGCTGCAGTGGACAGCCCTCCTCCCGAGCAGCAGGCACTCAGCTCCCCTGACACGAGATGGCGAGGAGAGTCCACCTGTCCTCCCTAGGGATCCCCCCGCCCCTGTCAGCTTGGCCTCTGGCCCTCAAACTCCCCCCCCACTCTCTCTCTCTCTCTCTCTCTCTCTCTCTCTCTCACACACACACACACACACACACAGCTCTCAGTCACAGACTGCCGCTTTACCAAAAGTGGTTTAGCCCCTTGAAAAAGTTGTTCTTAACAGCTCTCTTGAGGCATGGAGGAACTGCTGAAGTAAAACGAGTGGACGTGTCAGATCTCAGTTCTAATTAACATTGCCACTGGTTGCTGTGGCACTTTATTAAAGTCACTGTCATTTAGTAAGTCAGGGATTCCCTGGAGGGTGATTCCTGAAGGCTGTGGAGGACTGGGACCCAAATGCTCATGGAAGTAACGGGGAAAGTGGAAAATATACAAATAAGTATGGTATTGACAAATTCAATCCCTGAGTGAATCAACAAATAGTTTCCAAGCAGCATGTATCCAGCTCTGGAATGATTTGGGGGGACAGACACTCTCAATCACACACACACAGACACACAGACACACAGACACACACACACACCATAAGCTATATGAAACCTGGTCTCTGTCCCCCAAAGACTTACTATGCTTCTTTATGCAACAAGACTATTAAATAAAAATAAGTTAGATTATCATTAAATGTGTTATTTTCATTATTAGCATCCACTGTATTATTTCTGTACTGTTTACTATGGTTGCATATCATTCAAATACCAAAATTAGTTTGGGCTTGAGAGAGATGGGGGACCTGAGTCTTCAACCAAGATGATATCAGGACTTTGAAAAACTCATGATTATTATTAGCTGAGTAAAGACATGTGGAGACAACTTTCCATATGGGATGAAGGTCAGCACAGCTAGGGTGGCCCTCTCCTGACTTGGTCCTGTGAGCCCACCCGACTGAAGAAGCATTTTTGGAAGCAAACTCAGAAGGCCTTGGCTGAACCCTATGTGGAACGATCTTAAATAAGAACTCAGCTCCTGTGTGCACAACCTCGTGTGGTCTGCTGTTCTGAAAAGATCCACCATGGGAGAAGACCGAGGTGCCTAGAGGACAGGCAGGCATATGAGTGAGTGAATTAGGGGAGGTGCCTCCTTCAAAACAGACGGGCTGTCCTTGCACATTACATACTTAGGGATGTCCTTTACCCTCACAAAGAAAATGATTTTCCCCATTCTTCTTGAGACTTAAAGCCCTTTTGGTCTAAGTGATATATTTCCACACTTGTTAAAAGCATAGGTGTGAAGAAATATTTCTCTATTGCAAAAAAGATCTATTGGAAACTGACAGGCGTCAGGGCTGCGTGATGGAAGTGCAGGTGACCCGGAAAGCACAGGGCACCTCTAGGGGACAGGAGCTACTCGGTGCCCGCTGATGCTCATCATGAGGAACATTCGGTATTCCCAGTCTTAAATTCTATTACGTGAAATCTCACAATTTTGAAATATAGCTTCATTAAAAAAACAACATTGAATCGAATAATTTGCTTCCTGTGGCCGTAGAAGATCTGAAGGCTGTCCATCCACATTTTCTGGTTTGTAAAATCGAGGGATGACCAGTGGAGATGTGAATTTGACCCTGACGCACAGAGAGGTTGCTCATAGCAGAATCAGCAGGTGCCGGTAAACATTATGCCCATCCTGCTTTTAATTTCCAGAAACTGCAGCTCCTTGGGAAGGCTGTGCTAAGGGTAGAAGTGGGGATTAGAGAGGGGCACTTAGCCTTGGACAGCCAAGAAGGAAGGGGGATTTCTTAACTCTGAAAGAGGAACGGGGGTCTGGCGTCCCATGATTAATAGTGAAGACCTTCGCAGCAGATCCACTGGCAGGTGCCGGCAGTGACCTGGCCCCTGATTGGGAGGGAGGGCGAGTGGGGTAGAATTTGCACACGGCTCCTAGTGAGACTGGATTTTAAGCTTTAAGGTTGGAAAGTCCAAAATATGGAACTCTGTACTTCCAGGGACCCTGCGCTCACCCGCATAGGCTGAGCACCAGAAGGGCCAACTTGTGTATTCTGCCCTCAGAAACTGGGCTTTTTCATGATCGGTTTCAGAAAAGCATTTCCACCACCTTTTATGGTCAGCCCTTCATATCCAAGAGAAGTGAGAAGCAGATAGGATTAATTTCATTTAAAAAACACCAAAAAATGTGCTATTTCTTGCACCGCACATTTGTAGAGTAAATTTTATATTAATGGTAAGTGCAAAAATAAGGTATAACAGAGTCATTGAGTATAGAGGTTCATCTGTTGGGTATCCAACA